GGAGCAGTGAGTCTGGGGGAGCAGTGAGTCTGGGGGAGCAGTGAGTCTGGGGGAGCAGTGAGTCTGGGGGAGCAGTGAGTCTGGGGGAGCAGTGAGTCTGGGGGAGCAGTGAGTCTGGGGGAGCAGTGAGTCTGGGGGAGCAGTGAGTCTGGGGGAGCAGTGAGTCTGGGGGAGCAGTGAGTCTGGGGGAGCAGTGAGTCTGGGGGAGCAGTGAGTCTGGGGGAGCAGTGAGTCTGGGGGAGCAGTGAGTCTGGGGGAGCAGTGAGTCTGGGGGAGCAGTGAGTCTGGGGGAGCAGTGAGTCTGGGGGAGCAGTGAGTCTGGGGGAGCAGTGAGTCTGGGGGAGCAGTGAGTCTGGGGGAGCAGTGAGTCTGGGGGAGCAGTGAGTCTGGGGGAGCAGTGAGTCTGGGGGAGCAGTGAGTCTGGGGGAGCAGTGAGTCTGGGGGAGCAGTGAGTCTGGGGGAGCAGTGAGTCTGGGGGAGCAGTGAGTCTGGGGGAGCAGTGAGTCTGGGGGAGCAGTGAGTCTGGGGGAGCAGTGAGTCTGGGGGAGCAGTGAGTCTGGGGGAGCAGTGAGTCTGGGGGAGCAGTGAGTCTGGGGGAGCAGTGAGTCTGGGGGAGCAGTGAGTCTGGGGGAGCAGTGAGTCTGGGGGAGCAGTGAGTCTGGGGGAGCAGTGAGTCTGGGGGAGCAGTGTGTGTGTGTGTGTGGGGGGGGCTGCGGCAGGTGCTCTGGGCTGCCGTCTCCTGCAGCGTGGTCATCTCTACCGCTGGCATCTGGGTCTGATGGCGCGGACAATGCCTGGACTCACAGCGGAACTGTGAGGAGAAGGGCCTATTCGCTCTACACAGCCTCAAATTTTAATGGGATTCAAGTCGATTCCCTGGAAACCATGAGATTTGCTGATTAGCGAATGGGCATGACCTGGACAGTGAGCCTTGGCTGCCTGCTGTCCCAGACGCATGGCTCCGTTCTGGATCATCTCAGCTTCTGGAGTAGCTTCCAGGACAAAGATGCTTCTGTGTATTTGTCGGACGGGGAAGGTGCTGGGTGGAGAAGATGGATCTGGATGGGTGTAAGATTTCGGGAGGAAGGCAGGAGGGAGGGTTTTCCCAGCGGGGAGAGGGTTTGGGAAGCAGAGCTGCCATTCCCTCCTCCCTCCTGCCCGCCCCCAGCTCTCAGGGCCCACGCTGGGCCGTCACAGGCCTTTCTCTGCCCTGCGCAGTGAACAGTCCAGACCATTGGGAAAGGAGGAAGGAAAGGGAAGGACGTCTAGCTGCTGTTTGGTCCTTGCAAGCGAAGGCTTTACATCAATTAATTTAATCACATCCCAAATCCACAAAGTAAGGACGGTCCCAACTGCGCATGCGAGGAAATGGGCGCTGAGGTGAAGGAATAACCCGCCCAGGTCACAGTCCCTAATGCTGGAGCAGAGAGGAGAACTGCGGGTGGCTGGGTCAGTACCCACTCACCCTGCCCAGCAAGCTTGGGGGGTAGGGGGGAGAGCTGGCATTCTCTTTTTTATAGACAGCACTTTCAGCAATACAGTATTCTTAATGAAGGTGTGTGTACCCTGTGTGGCAGATAACACTTAAGGGACTAAGGATAGTGGAGACATGCCTTTCGTATGCGCCTGGAAGCCAAAGGCGTCCTGTGGCCGGCTGTGTTGTGATACTTGCGCCCTTGGGGTGGCCTGGACCTGAACCTCTGCCCCAGGTGTGCCTGTGCTCTGACCGGACTCTGCCTCCCTCTCCCTCTGAGACTCTTCTGGTCCCGGGCCACCTGCGTGATCAGGCGAGTCCAGGGCAATCTCTTTGTCTTAACGTGAGCCGATTAGCACCGTCTGGAACGAAATTGCTACCTTCACTGCAACGAAAGCTCCCGCTTTCAACAGCCTGCAGCTGGCCAGGGCCCTGACTCGGAAGGTCCTGGCGATGTGGGTGCTTGAGCTGCCTCTAGGCCAGCCGTGGGCAAACTACGGCCCGCGGGCCGGATCCGGCCCATTTGAAATGAATAAAACTAAAAAAAAAAAAAAAGACCGTACCCTTTTATGTAATGACGTTTACTTTGAATTTATATTAGTTCACACAAACACTCCATCCATGCTTTTGTTCCGGCCCTCCGGACAAGTTTAAGAACCCATTGTGGCCCTCGAGTCAAAAAGTTTGCCCACCCCTGCTCTAGGCCCTGGCAGCACAGGCGCTGTGGAGCGAACAGACCATCCCCCCTGGAGAACGTGCTGGGCCCAAAGCCCTGGATGCACTCCCTGCAGGAATGAGAGTGCGGGGGTCTGGCCTCCTAGGCTTGTCTACAAAACCGCATTATTTATGAAATGATTCACATGGTGTGATGCTGCCTCAGGACCTACCATGCAATGATGTCTCTGTGTGTGTGTGTGTGTGGGGGGGGGTGGTGGTGGTTGTGATCCCAGAAACATATTTCTTACAGTGAAATGGGGGTCACCCAGTGCGCGTCGTGGTTCCACAGCCGGGGCAGGAACCATGGCCCCAGCAGAGCAGAGGGTGGGAGGGAGTGGAGTCAGAATGAGGAGCAGGGAAGCCCCGTGTGGCTGTGAGGACGCTGGGGACAGGCCTGCTGGGTGGTGGGCTGGGTGAGCTGGTGACTGCTCTCGCAGGCCTGGGCGGGGGTGGGCTGGTGTTTCATAGCCATCAACCTCAGAGTCACGTCTCAGCCCGGGCCAGTCTTTCTTTTCTCTTTAATGGACACACGGTCTGCCTAGTCCAGTTTCCTCTGCTCTTCAAAGCCGTCCTTTCCTTTTCCTGGAAGGCCCCACAGGAGGGTGCACTGACTTTATAACCCCTAAGGGCGTCTGCCCGGCTGCAATCTGATCACGGTTAACATTCCTCAGTGTGTCCGTCCGGCCTCCTTGCCCCCACCCACAATGAGGCCATCCTTTAAAAAAAAAATATAGATATTTTTCTGGATTTCAGAGAGGAAGGGAGGGGAAGAGAGAGACGGAAACATCAATGAGAGAGAATCATTGGTCGGCTGCCTCCTGCACGCCCCCTACTGGGGATCAAGCCTGCAACCCGGGCATGTGCCCTTGACCGGGGTTCCCCCGGACCCTTCAGTCCATAGGCCGACGCTCTACCCACTGAGCCACGCCGGCCAGGGCTGAAGCCCTCCTTTTTCAAATGATAAACAAGCCCCTGGAAGCGGCCACCTGCTTCTCCACCTTCCGCAGCCCTGGGCGCAGCGCAGGCTCCCAGGCTCTGTCCTGCGCCTCAGGCTGGGCCTCCGCCCCAAATGCTCCCCCAGTCTCTCTTCTCTTGTTCACTCTCCACCATCCTCTGAGACTCGGCGCACAATTCTCTCCCGAACCTGCCCACCCCTAGGTAGGGGCGTGTCCGTCTTTGCGATCCTCCGTTCCGTGCACCTCTTCCCCCCATTTAAATTGCAATGTTACCCTGAAGCCGTTTACATGGGTGCCTTCTCTTGACACCAGCACCCACCACAGCTCCCACTGGGATCCAACACATGCACGTCCAAAGCAAGGTGAGGTGGCTTCCCACACGCTTGTAGGGGGGCCCCTCTGGGAGCGGCTGGCGAGCTGTCGGTGTGGCTCACAACTGAGGCCCTTCCTGCGCCCAAGTCACAGCCCTTCCCAGGGCACTCAATAGCCAATGGCTGGTCCAGGTCGGGTAGCCAGAGCCTGGCCTCTTGCCTTTGAGGGCCATCCCCACTCACAGCCCTCAGCGCTGGGCTGCAGCCTTGGTTGTACCTGCCACCGTGCACACCTCCCTCAGCCCCGCCCCGCCCCGCCCACTCCCTCCTCTA